TGTCACAGGGAGCTAAAAATGTGTTGGGTCAGCCAAATTTTTAAAACCCATAATCTTCTTCTCCATTTTAGATAATGGGTAAAAAAAACATTGAAATACAGTACCGTACCAATCCAGAACCTTAGAACATCGTAGCCTATGACACGTCTTATTTCATGGTCACAGAACTTGAACCATCCAGAAAGATTTAACTTACCATGCAGTAAACCGTAAAAACTTTGTAAATCCTGAGAAGAACCCCAGAAAACCATATGCGCTATGCCACAACTTTCCTTTCTATCACACGTACTCCACCCTCCACAAGTATGAGAGGTCGCGTCCAACTGGGACAACCCTCGTATTCATAAAGGCGGGTGGGAATGAAGATCAGATTACGGAGAAAACGGACTCGCGGCATATTTTATTGCAGTTTTACATTATGCCGTCCACTTGTGAAAGAAAGGCAGTTGCAAGTTCATTTCTCACCAATATTCAGGCGCTGGTTGTCGAGTGTTGGCACAACGGATCCCTGGTCCCGACGAATTGTACAGCAACCACTGAAAGAATCAAGGCTACTCTGAAGCCGTGGGGCTACGAGTTACGCGAAATCATCAATAATCAAGACTTGTTGTTCATGAAAAAGGACGCGAATTGATTTGACTACACAACGAATAGGTTTTCAATTTGTCCGCTTAGCGACAATGGATTTAAAAGCTACTGAAGATGATTGACTTTTGGTGGGATTGCCAATATTTATTCTTCTTTTTGTTCCTCCACTTTAGAGGTGACCCCATCATACGTGATTGCCCCAAAATGTCTTCTTAAAAGCTCAATAAAGGGGATTTTTGAAATGTTCATGCTTATGTGGTCGAACGCATCCGAACTCGAAAAGGGTCACTGTTCTTTTCCTTTTTTGCTTTATCATCTAGCATCGACCAGAGGATGAGCGTTCACTAAAATGCACACTCCAAAAATAAAATTACGGTAGTCATTATCTTTTAAGCGCAGATTCTCCACCATCAAACACAAAAATGTGTAAATTTATTCCTCACATCACGGTAAGTATTTTGTGCCGATTTAAAACCTCTGAAGTGTTCACGAAGTACCATATTTCCGCAAGTATGGACATTCCCCTAGGTGTTCCATGCACAAAATTGGAATTCCATCAATATAGGCAAGCAAAAGTACCCCTTTTACTTTCCTGGCATTCTGACTTTCCAAGAACCCAGAACATCTGACTAAATTTAGGTTTTCACAAAAATAAAAACTGTGTCAGACAACCCTCACTATTCCCCATCAGTCAATGACTCATTCATCTCTAAGTCCTATAAGCTGACCATTTCTTGATTATTTCTCAGGCTTCATTTCCAAAAGAAATGAATTGCTCCATCGTTCCATGGGCCGCAATCAGGAATATTTTTCGAATTACTGTCGCTGACATTCACGCGAATTGCATAAATGCGCGAATATGAACACATCCTTAGTTTTTGAGCTTTTGCAATTATAAAACGGAGTGCTTATACTATACAAAATTCGCGTAAATACGGTGAGTGATTACTAGCGTTCGGGGGCCAAATTGTTCGGAACAATGCCAGAAACCCTCTTTGACAAAAAAAAAAAGAAAAAGGTGACGATGAAAAAACCCGGGCGCATTGTTAGGAAGGCAAGGCGAGGGAAAAGCGTCTCTTACCCTCGAAATATTTTAATGACAAATTTTACAAACCGCAAGTCGCGGCAATAGACACGTGCAATGATTATCACATGACCGTACATCCAAGTCCAGGAAGGCAACAAAAAAAAAAGCAGCAAACGTGGTACCCCGACAAATATAAAATAACCTTGACAAGCGGTCTCTTCCCTTTCTACACACATGGAATAAACACATCTATAGCGAATGTTCAATCTACGCGAAAAATGTCAAACTCGTGATGTCTAGAGTACAGCAAATTCTTACTCAAAAATATTTTTGGACAAAACCTGACGATGAATTCCAATCGGAAAAAAACCGATTAAGATTTTTCCCTTTACGCAAAAGCACGTGGAACGCATCAATACAAAGCGACCATCAAGTTTGTAATTCGCGGGACAATCGCCCAGAAACCAGATCTTGAGGACACCGCGATGGAGGGAAAGCGTTCGAATTCCTCGCAAAAATAAATTTTTAAAGCCAGGGAAATCATCCAAATTCTTGCTCAGGGAAAGTCAGGTTTCGCCATCATGAAAAAATAAAACAAAAATCGCGCACTGTGGTTAGAAAAAAAGTAACTCCCTAATAATAAAAAAAATCCGGCGAAGAAAAAATAAAAATTGAGAAGACCGCGATGCGTTACAGCCGCTGCTGCTCGACGATCCTCAAGTGTGCTGGTAGAGGCGCGTTGAAACGTAATGCTCCGATGCGATGAGGGTTAAGGATGCCGACGCCGACAGAGGGCGCCAGTCGATTCGCAGCAGACTGCTGAAGAGGCACGCCAAGCGGTGGGAGACCAGCATTGCGCTGCCGAAAGGGCTGCAGCTTCGGCACGCAGGATTTACCGCCATTTCCGCCGTCACTGCCAGGGTTCCGCGGACGTCGCTTCACATTCTTTCGCGACGTTGACGGCTCCAACGGTACTCTAACAGAGAAAAACTTCGCTGTGCGCAAGTGCGATTACCCCAGTGAACTAAAAATCGGGCAGGCATTGATTCGAAATCTGTATTTGACCGTGGATCCCGCGCTACGATGCCAGATGAACGAAGAGACAGGGGTTCATTATCTACTCGGCTTAGTCCAACCTAGGGCACAGTTGCAGGAGCCACCCCAGCCTCTCCACCACTTTACGCCAGGCTCGCTAGTCGGGTCCACGCTTATCACCAAAAGTATTTTACACGGCACATATTTAGTAAATGGGACTTGTCAATTTGGGTTTGTTGAATCGGGTGCAGTCAACTCTCGATTCAGTGCCACCCTTTCATGCATGGTGTCTCAGATTTCTCCTGCGCGAATCTCTCTTCATTATGTTCTTAAGGGAAATCCCAATTCAGTGCCAACTTATGTGGTGGCACAAACAATTCTTCTATTAAAAAGTGAGCTGAAATTACGGACGTTTTTCCACTTTTTGTTCCATTTTTGCTCTTAAACATCTTTGATCAATATTAAAAGTTTTGAACAAACACTATTCTGTTTTGTAATGTTTCCTTACATTGGCTGAAATTTAATTGAACTGCCATCAGCAGTCGCGGATGAGTAGATCACCGTGTGATTTTGAATATGCTTTTCAAAACTGCTTGTGGGTCAACATCATTCAATTTTCACCAAGTTGAACTAAATTCATATGAGCAATAAAGGAATATTGAACGAATTCTGCATCAATCCAGTGTTTAACAGCATGTATTTTTATAATTTCGTACATTGATTCCCGTCCAGCCGCCCCAAGATTTATAATTATTGCACAAGGAATTTATTTTTGTACGCCAAAAATACGCAATCAACTGCTGATACCTGCACTACTAACAGTGCAATAATATTAGAGTATTATTATTATTGGACCATCATTTTGGAGAATATCGCTATCATATTACAGTATACGATTAGTCCACAGCCTCAATGATCAGAACAAAGCCAAGGATGTTGAATAATTTTTTTTTACATTACAATGAGACCAGAGATGTGGACGTAATTTGTACTTGGATCTTGTCACTGCAACAGAACTTCTGCATGCAAGATCACAATTTCCCATAGACTTCCATGGTCACTTAATTTAATTGGTTCTCTTAATCTCTAGAAAGGCCAGATCATCAAAAATTAGGAATAAATCTCCAAAGAATTAATTGATTTTATTTTTCCCCAATTTGAAGGTACAGAATATAAATGTGCAGAAGAATATCACGCAGAATCTGCTCTTGGTGTCAAAAGGACCCCAAAAAAGCAGAGAAAAAGTACAATTCTCGCTATACCTCGCATTGCACAGATGATGGAGAATACTCCAAAAAAGAAGCACCAAATTAAAGTGTTTTTGATTATAAATGTGAGTAAATTTGATATTAAAATATCTTCTTAATTTTTGTAAATATAAATACAGTAGCTGAATTATTTCAAGAGATATTCACATATTGAAAAATTAAATTTTAAATTTTTTTCTAGAAGTGTTGGAAAAGTGCTCAGAGGTTAGGACATTCCCAGATGTTGGGCAGATATTTTAAATTTGCTAGTGTCCCTAAGTAAAATTGTCTATATGTTGGGGTGTCAGTATTTGTAAGTCTCACTGTACATAATTTCAGAACTTTCAGTAAAGAAAAACTAAAATTTTTCAATGGGAAGTTGAATTTATGCTGCTAGAATTGTCATGATCTTTGAACATTTGAAAAAAAATCTGATCTCCGTAAAAGTCCCCCAAAAACTAGTCAAATGCCACATCCACCAGTGAGGCTTGAATGATGAGGCAATTTACTCTCCCTATATGACTTTTCAGTGACGATTTGTGAACATTTGAAAAAAAATCTTATCTCCGTAAAAGTCCCCCAAAAACTAGTCAAATGCCACATCCACCAGTGAGGCTTGAATGATGAGGCAATTTACTCTCCCTATATGACTTTTCAGTGACGATTTGGCGACAGGAGACTCTCGTTCTCCCATCAAGAGTCCACCGAAATTCAAACCGGGAGACTTCGTGATGAATTCGGAACGTCTGCATTGGCCATGGGCAGAATATTTTTGCTTAGCCGAAGAAGAATTAGCCCTGATAGATCCCGAAATTCAGGATCTGCCGCATGGCTTGAAACTTCCCTTAGCCTACTTGGGGCTCTCTGGGCTCACGTCGTATCTCGGTGTGAAATCGCGCGGGAAAGTGACTAGTGGTGACGTTGTTGTGGTTTCTGGTGCCGCTGGTTCTTGTGGTACCCTTGCTGGACAATTCGCCCTAGAATGGGGTGCGAAGAAAGTGATTGGTATTTGCGGTTCGGATGAAAAATGTCGTGCACTGGTTGATAGATTTCGGTGAGTCATGGTTATTCAACACCCGAAGTCCCCAGTTGTATGCTTTTAGTGGTCTCTGACGACACAAGTGGAATTTCGTTGAACATGAAATATGTTATGTGTATGCATAGCTGTTATTTTTGTTTACGTTGTTTCACTGCAAAATAAGCACAGTACAGTAACATATTGTTACAGCAAATTTTGTTTCAACAAATTTTTCAGTATAACAAACTAATGAAACTATTACTCAAATCCTGACATAGAGACCAACCACTTGGACTATTTCGATTGTAGAGTACTTGTTCAAAAAATTCATTGAATGAACTGTCAAATTCCAGTACAACAAACTTTTTGAAGGAATGTTCAATATATTCTCTGGGTGGACATTTTCTGATCAAGGCAGACACAGTCTGCATTTCTATTGCCAAATGTGACTGCATGGTTCTTCTGATGCATGAATGGTAGCTGTATCAATGACAAACATGCTTCCAAGTGTTCCCACACATCATCCTTCCAGAATGAATAGATTTGCACAACATCCTCCCAGAATGATTGGTGCAACCAATGGAATGCACGATTGGAGCTAATTTTCCCCCAGAGGATCACGCAGTTTTTCAAACAATAATACAAAATTTGAGAATTCCAGAGAAGCAATATCTAAGTGATCATTGGCAGGTCTGATATAAGATTTTTTTCTAGTCCTTAATTTTTCTGTGGTCCGCAGAACTTTTTGCTAGTTTGTGGAAAATTTTCTTTGGCATAATAAGTTTAACAAAAGTGACATTTTAGTCTGTTATCCTCGTCTGGAATTTATGGAAAGTCAATTGCAGTTGTAACTATCTGATGAAGAATATAAGTTGGCTTTTCTCCTAATAAAGTGTCAAAAATGTTTAATCTGCTGAAATAAATTAGTTTAATTTTTCATTCTAAGAAAATGATTTTTGGAAGACATTCCACTGAAGCTGCTTCATTGATTCTCAACTTACATTTTGCAAAAAAGCAGAAACTTTTTCATAACCTGCCATGAAGTCTGTCAAACAAAATCTTTTCAAGTTTGCAAAAATTTTATGAAACTTTGCAGGTCTGCAGATTTTTTTTTCATTTTCTGGTCCACAAAGGTTGGAGAACACCGGTATATCTTTACCTGGTATGGGTGACACATGTCTGACATCGCAGAAACCTGTGTCAAACGTGAAACAGAAAATTTCATTTCCATGAGGTTATTACAGTATTGTCTGTATTTTGAAGAACTGTACAGTATCTAATGGTCTATGAGTGATAAAGTCACCAAATACTGCGTATGGCTTATTTTATGGGAATCCTGCTATAGCTAGATACTTCGTCATTAATGTTTATTAAATATTTTCTTTTTTTAAATTCTCCGGCGCATGTTTTGAACAAAAGATTCACGACCGCTGTCAACTATAAAAGTCCGGCATTCGAGTCAAAATTGGCGGAAGCTTGTGCAGATGGCGTTGACGTCTACTTTGACAACGTGGGTGGAGAAATCAGCCGAATAGTGATTGTTGATCACATGAAACCCGCAGGTCGGGTTGTGTTGTGCGGGCAAATTGCTGATTACAACAAAGATGTCCCTTATCCTCCGCCAATTCCGAAGGATATGCAAGTGAGAATCTTTATCCGCTGGGACGAGGATGGACCCATTTTTGATGTCTTAAGAAGTATTTGGATCCTTTACTCCGTATCGTCATGTCATCACTTTTTTTAAATTCAAGTAAAAACTCCGTACAACGAAACAATTTTGGGACCAGTTAAATAGCTTTGTTTTTATGGAAAAGGTGTAATCAAGTATTTATTTCAACATTGCCGCTATTGGGCAGAGACTTTGTTGTAACTGATGATTCGATATGACGAGATTCTAGTGACTTTCATAATTGGTATGGTCTTGTAAAGAAGAATTCTCGATGTTAAAAAATAGTTCATTCTCACTGGTTTCCTCAGCAGAAAAAAGTTTGGGTCCTACAGCAGTACAGTACTGTATAAATTAATCTTTACAGCTGTGAGAAAAAGTGTTGTATTTTTTATTTGTAAGTCCTCCAAAAAGTTCGTGGCGATTATTTTTCACCGCTAATTTTTTATGCCTGGGATGAAATTCAATCAACTTTTTTTTCTGAGTCAGCAAAATGAAATGTTTGCTTTGCAGGATGCGATTGTGGCAAAAAGCATTGACAGGGAGCGTTTCCTTGTGCTGAGTTATCAAGATCAGTTCCCGGAAGCATCGGGAGACATGAAAAAGATGATATTGGAAGGGAAAATTCGTGTCGAAGTGACAGAAGCTGAAGGAATAGAAAAAGCTGGTTGGGCCTTGGTGAACATGATGAATGGAGGAAATATTGGGAAACAAGTGGTCAAAGTCTGTGATTCCTCCCGACGGGTTAAACAGGACTGATTATTCTTTGTTGCTCCTTTTTTCCTGCGGCAATTTAATCTTCTCAAGTGATTTACTTTCTGTTTTTTTTTCGTGAATTCCTTCACGAATTCGGGACCTCGTATCTTTCACGGGAAATAAATGAAATTGAAGGGTTCCTGATGTTTACTTTTCGAAATTCACGATTCTTTTTTTCAATTATTCGCGAAAATCGTAACACCCTTTTTTCGTTGATTCAATGAAGAGTTGCCGTGTTTCCCCTTAGTTCCAGAAAATCAAGCCTCAAATACGTGAATCTGCTGGAAGATTGTGAATGGATTCTATCAAGAGTAAAAATAGATAAAATTTCTGGCAAAATGCATGAAAAATTAATGGTGCATGAAAAATGCATCGTGAATTCTCCTAAATTCAGTTCAAGTTCATGGAATTGATGTGAGCTGTTGTGCTGATTCGGCAATCCAAGTTTTTGGATCTCTCGAATTTTTTGCAGTTTTCATTTCCTGGATATAAAATAGTTTACATGGATTGATTGCAATCTTCAAACAGTAATTCAGATTCAGTGCCAGAGAGAAATTCAAGCTTCAATGATGAAAACTTGAAAAGCAAGAATAACGTACAGTGAGCAGATTTTGAATACACAAGTGTGAGTTGTATAAACTTACAACTCTTTTTACAGTTTGTAGTTCACGTTATATGTGAGATATTTTACATCAGTTGAACATATTTATTTGTCTCACATACTGTACAGTGCATGTCTGGTTTTTTTTCATTTGAGAACGCGCGAAAGAAAATGCACAATATGTCAATATCTAAAAATACAGTAACAAAAAGTAGCTATAGGATGCAACGAGAAAAGTGTGCAACGCAGGTGTGATTTATTCAGTGTGCCGTGTGCCTTGAAGCCAGCAAGCCACGTAGCCTGCCGTCTCTCTGCTTGAATTCCCCTCCTTTGTTTTTATTGATAATCATCAAGTACTTTCTGTTGTTCCCTTCTCACTAGCAGATGACACACATGAGCCAGTTGCCTGTTTCTACTTTGTGTTCCCATCAGTGATGTGCTACCGTGCCAAGTCATGTACCAAAAAGGTTATAACCATTTTTAAAATTTGGTCAGATCCAGGTCTGACCAACCTTGCCTAAATCTCAGTCCATAAAGGCGTCTGCCTCTCAATAGTTTTGCACTCATTGTGTCTCCACTATCCATTGGTTGACTTACATTATTTGTTGCTCCCCATACTTGTTGAATATAATCATAAACACTGCTATTCTTTATAAGAATTCTTGAGGAGTCTTCACTTGAAGTAACCTGGCAATAATAAGGGAATAGAAATATCCTTGTTACTGAAGTTCTCAGATCTGAATTAAGAATATTTGATACAGTAGAATTCTGTTACAAAAAATCTTGGTATAACAATTATTTCTCATTGGTCCTGACAGTTTTCCTTATGCACAGTGTTATAAAAATCTCATTTTAACAAATTACTTTTTCACAGAATCTCCAGTTATAACAAATTTTTGATGTTACAGCCCTATACACTGCATAGTGTATTACTACGCAGCGTTGCCCCAAATGATGTTGCTCAGAATTTAATTTAAAATATACTGTATTTTTACTTCCATAACCTGACCCAACCTAACTTAACCTAACTGCCACTAAAGTCATCTTTTGTATAATTATGAATCCTGCAAAAAACAGACTTCAGGGACAGTTATGTTAGGTTATTTAAGAGGATGAAGTGTTTTATCTGTAAGTAAATCCATCAATCTCATTACAATGCATTTTTTGTTGTAACAAATTTTGTCTTGGTTCCCCAGCAGCAGGAGTTTGTTGTAGCAAGATTTTACTGTATTGGTAAGTAAAGACTCAGGAGAAATCTAGAGAACTTCATATCTTTTGTCCATCACTTAATTAAGTTCTGATAGCATGATGGTCAGCCATCAATAAGTCAAACAGCCTGCTGCCACCCCATTGCATTCACTTTAAACTTGAGTGTCATCCTAAACTCTGCAGCATTTGCATTTGAGATATTGTGCAGACAATTTGCATATATCAACCTTTATCACATAGCTGCTAATCTGTAAGGTTCTTAGCTTGTATTCCTTTCTTTTTTAAAAGTCCTACAACCTGCAAATAACGTAGAAAACACCTATGTTAAAGCTAAGACACAAATAGACCTGACCCATAAGGCCAGTAGGGCAGTAGTAAATTTATTTTCTATGAGATGTTATAGTAAGAATTCACTCAAGGGTCACTGCCATTTGAAGAACATTTTTGTAACATTTCTAGAAAAATTGAACAATTATATTTCTCTGAATTTGATCTGTTGAACAAATTTTAGCTATGTATCTTGAAGAACATTTTTAATCTTCATAAAATTACCCCCATTTCCAATGAAAAACAAGCTAATGTTGTGCTTCTTTTTCAGCGCATTATAGCTATAATTTTCCTCTCCTTTGCTTCCAGATGTTAGAAGATCAAATTATGTATGATTTTCTTCTGCTCAGTTATACTGTATTCTCATCTCAAAATTGAAAAAATTATCCAATTCTCTGGGGACTTTATTCTTAAGTTGTTGATGAATGGGAGAACCAATTTTAAATATGTTCCTATTGAAGTCTATGGGACAACGTGATTTGACATTTCAATGCTCATCGTCTGACTTGTTATCAAGTGTCCAAGAACGCAATAATGACATCCGCATTCGAGACCCCACTGTGTAAATGACATGCTGTCCGTCACAAAATAAAGAAAAGGTGATTTTTCAAGCCCATGATACACATAAAATACTAGACCAGTTAACGTAACGCTGGTTCTCCAGCATGCCTGTGCTTTGCTGCTCTTTTTTTTTTCTCTCTCCCTTGCCTCACCAGCCAGCCCCAGCAGGGTTATTGGAGAAATTTGTGCATGTTGAACCATATGCAGGTGATGCTGCTTCAAAGTCAGTGAGCTGTGCAGCTTCCTGACTTTCTGCTTGTGCTGCTCTCCTTTGTTCTTATGGGCTAGTCAGCAAGCAGTGCAGCCAAATGCTGGCCCAGTACAATCCCCTTAAAATTGTGTGCTTTTTATAAGTATTCTGTAGTATTTGCAACTGAGACTTTACACTGTTGACTTGTGTGCACCGACTTGCAATAAATTGCTGTCTGCCAACCCAGAATTCTTATAGCGTCATTCACCTAGGACCTATAGCTAGCAAAAGTGCTAATAAGTCTCACAGTAGCTATATAAGCAGAAAATACCTAAAGGACCAAGAACTCAACCTGTACCTGAGCCACAAAGCCAGTAGCAATCTTTCCGCAGGACAATAAGATAAGTAATTGCTTAAGGCTCATTGCTGCTTTAAAAAATCAACTCTTTTTATTTCAACAACTCAGCAGGTTTTATTAAACACCCGTTTTTTGTGGAAGAAAAAAATGTTGATTTATATAGTATTTTAGTGTATAAATACAATGTATGGTATATGGCTTCAACAATATGGTTGACCTGTCTCACCTGTGCGTTCCAATGTATAAGAGTCTTGGAGCTAAAAGTCAGTGGCATGGAAACGGGAGCAAAGCAACATTAATTTCATACCAAATTCTATTCATTATTGTTTCATTCTTCCTCTTGCTCCCTTGACGACTATACGCGCACTTGCTGATGCATTCCATCAAACTTCAGTTTCCCCTTTAGCATAGGCGTTTTTGTCACCAACACAGCACATTTGGGAGAACGTATGAACACGAATCGTCTTTGATAATAATACATACAGTGTGCTTTGATGTGAACTCCCCGCAAAATATGGTTGGACTGCTTCATATAAGACGGAAGTTAACTGAGGATAACTTCAAGAAACATTCCAGGCCTGAATTTATCCCGAGACCGTTTATAAATATATGTACAGTAGTCCCAAAACTATAGAGCTGCTATAATTTTGATGCTAATCATTAGTAACCTCGATAAAAGGTTAAAATGAGGGCAATATTGTTGCTGATTGGCAAGTTTTGTATGTGATGGTGTTGTGATTGTACTGGTTCCATCCTTGAAATGCATAAATAGGAATCATTCAAAAGTTTTATGTACAAGATTGAATTTCACAGACTTATATCTGTTTGGAATAATTGTGCAAGAGTACTGTATTTACAAAACATTTAATACAGCTAAGTGTATCACATTCCATTATTATCTATATAGTCCCTTTTTGTTCGGGATGGGCATGCAGCCACCAATACATAAATGTGGTTAAAAACGTAAGGTCCATTATACTGTATATATGCATCAGAACATCACTGTGCAAGCTGTAAATAAACTGCAGCTACTCATATGCCTTATATTGCAGTGGAATGTATACACTATATATACATTGTAGTGGGATAATTGAGTGAAAACTAATTATTGTGCGGTACACTATTCTTTATAAGTTAAAACACTAATTTGACATGAGAAAATATATGCCCCTGAAATCACATAGCTGCTGAAATTAATGGTTCAGTGGAAATAATTAATTTTCAAGTAACTTCTTTTTACATTTTCCACCATATCTGACTTCATCAATGTTGTCTTGATTATGTTTCTACCTTGATTTCAGAATGGGCAAACCTGAATCATCTTGAAATTGTATTTTCTACCACAGTATTCTTTTACTTTCACATTATGTTTACAGAAACTCTTTTATCAATCCTCTATTTTATCAGCAGAAGGGAATATTTGTGAGGATGTCTGCTTGGCTTAAAATTTCCCATCATATCCGATTTTATAAATTTTGCTTGAATTTTGTTTCATACCCTGATTGTAAAGGGGTGAATCTGAATCATCTAAAAAAATTTTCATTTTTTACTATTCTTTCAATTTTACAAGAGGGAATCTTTTTTGAATCCTTTATCTTATCAGCTGTAGAAAATATGTAGTGAGGAAGTCTGGAAATGTATTTCCTTGTGCTGATAGCACTCCTTGCCATTATTACAAGAATCATCTTTTTTAACTGTATATGAGAGTACAGATGTACAGTATATACGAATAATACAATGCTTGTTTGTCATCGTCTTGACCGCTTGGAAGCATATGTATACTGTATAAGGAAATGGCGGAAAGATTCATCTGTTGGAATATTCAACAAAAATTTAAGATTTGAAAAGTGTTCTGTCCTGAACAATTGATGAAACGTACTGTATTTTCAAATCTCATGCATCAACAGGTAGTGGACAGAAATATCATGAATAAAAACGATAGTAGTGCATCATTCAGCTTCAGAAGGAATTTCTTCAGAAGCCTTCTTCGGCATCTTTTTGTAAAACCGTTCCTCTTCACCATTGCTGCAATTTCCGTACTCGTACTGATGCTGTTCGTGATGGACCAACAACTTGAGTTAAATCAACTTCCAGCAATCATAAACATCAGATCGAGACAAAATATCTTGGAAACATCAGAACTGACCCAGCAGATCAGAGCCAAGCTAATGGATAATCGAAATGGGTCCAGTGGAAGTCTGAAACTTAGCAAACCAGTGACTGGGCCCGAGAATGCAGACCGGTCACAAGTTGGTCAGCCAAAAATTCTGCAGCAATATTTCAAGAATAAAGTAAGTATTGTCCTGTACACCATTTATTCAAGAACCCTACCCACATCCTTTTGCTCATAAATTGTGTTCAAGAAGTACATATGTGGGATACGAGTCGTAATTGAGTCTATACTGCTGTATAAAGATACAGTATTTCAGCAAACAGGTTCAATAAAAACGCATCCCGCAGTGAAGTTAAAAAAATACTTTTAGCGACAATAATGTAGAAATACTGTACTATATACAATTGAACCTTGTCTGTAAGTCTAATTTCTAGGGATCAGGAAAAAAATTTGAATTAGGGAGGTTTTAATTTTCAGAGGTTTACAGTATGTTGAGGAAAAAAACACTTTTGTTGTGAGGAGAAGTGAACAAAGTGTGGGAAATCATAAATGAGCAGGATATTCTGGGCCTAAACTTGCTCCTTAATGAGTTTCCACCTTGCTGAACTTGGAGTCAGGGGTTCATTTGCTATATTTGTCTTTCACTTCCTTTCAATAAGATCCATCAAATCCTTTGTTTTAATAATTTTCTCTTCCATATTTCAAGGAAATAATAACCAGAAGGCCTCAGAAAATTCAATTTACAGAGGTTTTAGAGTGTAACCGAAGTCATATTTCCTGTGTCCCATTACACGCTAATAATACCGTCTGTTTTTGAGTCACGTACCGGAACGTGAAACAGCTTTGCCCAGCAATTTGTTGTTCCAAAGTGAACAAGGTCAGTTGTCTGGTTTGCGGTCATATACCTTGCCCCCTTTTGCAGTGTCTCTGTCCTGCTTGCGCAATTGCACCAGGAAAGTGTTGAATCTATAAAAGGTACCCAGGCATGTTGTACAGACATTCATTGTGAGTCTATGCTGACTGAGGAAATACAGAAATATATGTTTCACACTCTAAATTGAGAAGTTGTGTTTCATTTCTAAAACCCCAGCCATAAGAACTAAATCTTCTGATTGAAAGTTTGTTTGATAGAATTTATTTTTTCTAGATTAATCAATCTTTTGGTAGAAGATGTTCTTCCTTAGTCAAAAGTGTCTTACAATAAAATTCTTAGCTGATTTGGACAACATAATTTGGTGCAGCTGAGGTTTTCTTTTTACCCGGGGTGAGTGCTTAGAGTAAAAGTGTTTCAAAGAAAATAGTAGAAACCCAAAAAAGGCTCCAGACTACCGCAGGCACATGCAAAAAGGGCCTTTGAATATGGCGTCTAGTTTAAGTGAACACAAAGTGAAAGTAACAAGTTTTTCTTGCACTATGGCAACTGGCACCTCCGCAAACATTTCAACCCTTGATATTTCCCAAGTGTTAGATGTGAACGCTATTGTGGATAGGAAACTCCTCTTGATCTGGGTCACAAAGAGCAGGCTGAGGTAGCAGCTAAGCAAAAGAAGAAACTTGAGCAAGAGCTCAAAAGATTAACTGGTCAACTTAACATGACGCCTGCCCCAAACCAAGAAGTGAAAAATGCACAGCAGAAACGTATGAATGACATTAAGGCTACAGATGGTCCATTGGCAACCATCACAACTATACTGGAGGTCCTTGTTCCAAATCTTATGGAGCTTAGTCTCCATGAAATTGCTATCAAAGATTCCCAGTTGTTGTTATTTTCCAAGCAGCTCAAAGAGGAATTAAAGATAAAAAAGTGCAATTTTGCCAATGGAATGGGGATTAGGCAAGCTTTGGTTGTGAACAAGTTAAGCTTGGACCAAATTATGGAGCCAAGTGTGGATGAGGTAGTATTCTATAATGTTGAACATCTTAAAAAGTCCAGATTGCCAAGTGTCAACACCCAGTAGGCCTCAATTGCAATGAATCAAATCATGTTTTTTGATGGTAGCAGTCCCTTAAATTGGCAAGAGTGGTGGGCAGCTTTTCAAAGCGCCTTGTACAATGGTGTATACTCAGATGAGAGTATCTGTTTTAATTTATTGAGCAAGCTAAGAGGCAAAGCCCAAATCTATGTGACGTTGATACAAGTGCTTACATCTGCCCATTATTGTGTGATTGTAAAGACATTACAAGATATGTTTGGAAGGAGAGTTCTGACAATTCTTATGAAAGACCTAAAGCGGATGTGCCAGATTCCTGGGGAGCAGGTGCAGACTTTTGGGGCTAGAGTAAGACATGCTGGAAATTTCCTCCTGGGTGATGCCCGCGGCAAACTCAAATAAGTTATCCAATGAGAAAATCAGCCTGAGGCCTTTCTCCCTAATCCTTATTATATAAAGGAGTGCTGGGAGTATAAAGGAAAGCAAGATTTTCTGGACAGATTTCTGTTATCTACTTTTATGGACGGACTTGTGCCCAAGATTGCCAATGCAATATGCATCACTTTTGATGATTTCAAGACTGCACTTTGATTTGCAATCTCTGTAGAGGATAGGGAAAAGGATTTAGACTCCTACCATTCTTCTTCCCTCCATCAATTGTCCCACATGCACCCTAGAACTCCTCCCACCGCGTTTAGTGGAAATGGTGCAGACATTCATTCTGCAACAACTTGTTATAATTGTGGTCAAAAAGGCCATTTTCACAGCAAGTGTTGCATCCAGAACAAAGCGCCAGCCAAAACCTCAATGCAAAACTTTGTGTACCTGGCCCCCAAAAGGGATGGCTGCGGGCCAAAATTTGTGAGCAGCAATAGAGGTTGTTCCTCTTATTGTGGAAATATGCGCGGTTGGGGTTGTGGACGTGGAAGTGGACAAAAATCAGTGAACTTTGTAGAAGAAGGCAACAAGTATGAAGGTGTCAACTAGGAATACAAGGAAGAATATGACAACAAGCTTCTCCCGGAAGGGTACATTGACAAACCCATGTCATACTTGGGAAACAAGTATTGGCCTGCACTTCAACAACACCAACAGCAAAGCTGCTGGTTATTCTCCTCACCACCAATGCCACACGCTTTCCAGCAAAGTTTCTGCTAGATTCAGGTTTGTAAATTTCACTATTATCTCCTAGTGTGTTGAAATCAGAGGTAACTCCATCAGCCTCTAACATCACAATTGCTACCAGAGAAATGCCGGTAATGGAGTATTGTATGTCACTTTGTTTATAGACAATAGATTACTAACTCAAGCCCAGTTCATCATATTTCCTATGCATGGTCATGAATTCAAAGGATTTCTAGGTTCAGACATTATGAAATCCTTGCATGCCAAACTAATGTACAGAGAAAGATGTGTACATTTAAATGAAATGAGGGTATCCTTCCTGACAGAAATGCATCAGCGTCAAAGAGTTAAATGTTCTTGTCCAAACCATATTCAAGAAACTGAGTCATTCCAATTATATCCAGTGGAAACATCAATCATTCCACAGAAGTCTCAAAAACTTTTGTTTGCAAAATTGTCATAAAATCCAAAGAAAAAGTTGGCAGCTGCACATTGTATGTGACCAATGGTCTATGTGGTATGTTGATAGTGGCTAGAAGTATCTCCCAAACCCAGTTTTGTGTTTAAACATTGGGGACAAAGATATTGAAGTCTCCCCTCAGTTAACCTTGGCACTAGCAACTGTGGCATTGAGGGATATAGAATATATTATAGATCCTAATGGAAAACCCTTGTCTGTCTATGCCACTAAAGAAAATATAAAGAACAAAGATAAACTTGAGAGACTTCATGGAAAATTGGAAGATAAGAACCTGACTCATCAGCTGAGCTGATCAACAAAAACATTAAGCTCTCAGGATGTCTGGAAGATTTAATCTGCCCACTTAGAGAATTGTTGCAGAAATACAAAAACGTACTAGCCAAGAAATCCAACCATTTGGGATTATGTCCGTTATACAAAGTGGATATCCCATTGGATACAGACAAACCCATTATTTTCACTAGACAATACCTGCTTCCACACAGAATGCGTCCCAAAGTTAACAATAAATTTGTTGAGGATTTGCTAGAACATGAAATAGTATGCCCATCCAAGTCTCTGTATAATAGCCCCACACTTATGGTTAAAAATAAAGATGGTGGTTGGCGCATGGTTGTGGATTTTTGGCATCTGAATGATCACATTATTACCAACGCACATCCCTTACCACGTATTAACCAAATCTTCAAGGAACTTGGTAATGCAAAGTTCTTCACTGCACTCGATCTTCTCCACAGATTCTATAATATAAAGATCCATGGAGAATAACGTTGGAAAATGGCGTTTTCAACACCTATGGGACATTACAAATTTATTTGTCTTCCCATGTGCCTTAAAAACAGCCCTTCCATTTTTCAATGTCTTATGCATTTGGTGTTGGATGGTTGCCTGGGAATTTACGCACATATATATGTAGATGATACTGTAATATACTCTTGTAGTGCAGATGAACATTTCACTCATTTATTGGATATTCTCAAGCATCTTGATGAAGCAGGTCTAAAAGTAAAGTTCTTGAAATGACAATTGTTCTGCACCCAAATAGAATACCTGAAATTTTTGATAAGCAAAACTGGCATCAGGGTTAATCCAACTAAAATTGAAGCCATTCAAAATTTCCAAATACCAGTAGATGTAAAAGGGGTACAGGCTTTTCTTGGCCTAGTTGGATATTACCAATCATATATACAGAATTTTGCTCTTAAAGCGTAACTGCTATATATTCTCCTAAAAAAGGATACTGCTTTCAAATGGGAGAAACAGCAACAAGATGCTGTATATTGTCTAAATAAAGGTTTATTGTCTGCACCTGTCCTTTCCTTTCCTGATTTTGATCACAAATTTATACTAACCATGGATGACTCAGCAATTGCTGTAGGAGCAGTTTTAACTCAAAAACCAGGAAAGAGGGAAGTACTAATAGTAAGCACGAGCAGAACACTCAACAATGCAGAATTGAGATACCCTAATACTGACCAGGAATTACTGGCAGTTTATTACGGTGTCTCCCAATTCCATTCATACTTATGGGGTCATCTCTTTGTGATTTGAACGGATCACATTGCAATTCCCTACTTGAGTTGTCAGAGACAGAGTGATAGCCATATGTCTATTGCTTGGTTTATGAAACTCAGCAATGAG